CAATAACTTTAAGATTTTTGGACAATTATCCCATTCATTTACTTATAAACAAAAATCCTAAAACCATATTAATCCCCTAGAGTCACAATAGTTTTTCCATGCCACCATATCCAGGTAATTATTGAGATAAGAGGTCCGTAGAGGTTGCCTTAGAATACCTATCTTCATTCGGCCTCGATCTGTGCCATTTCTATCGTAACTTACAATTGAGTTTTAACCAAGGTACTCGTATGTGCAATCCTGGCAATGGGTATTAATTCAATGGATAGAAACTTTCCGACTGATATATCGTGCATAGCATATACACGATTGACAAAAGGCATTTACTTTAGTATTTTATTTTGCCGAATTTGGTGACAGTGATATGGATCATAAACGGCTGCCCGAAGAAAATTCTTCAGAAGAGGCAAAGTAATTCCAATAACTGGTGCTTGGATCGGTGAAAGATTCAGATGTCGGCAGGTCCACGAACCCCACAATTGCAACTATTTGGTCTTGATAATGACTCGTTTCTTCATTAAAGAAAGTGGCAAAGACCCCATCAATTATTACTTTAATTTAATTTTTATCCTATTTCTTGGCCGGAAAGGTTTATTTGTATTATAGAAGTTCTTTGTAATGATTCCTAACCTTGGATTACTCCACGACCGTTTACCCAAAGGAAGCAACCCGAATTTTCCAAGGGTTTTCTTGTTGACCCAAGCTTAAGTGGCGGGGGAGGCGCCGATATCTTTGTGAAATAAGGGCAATATTTAACTGACATCCACACATATATTATATGAAAAATATATACAAAAATTTTCATATGAAATTTGGAGAAAGTTTCCTCCAACGATTTGATTACTTAAGATCACACGTAGGGCAATAGTAATGGTAATGGTTAAATTTATCACCACTAATCAAAATTCTCATTGGACATAAGTACTCAAAGATTTTTTTTTCAAAAATTCAAGTTTTTTCGTAGATGAGGAAATAAATGTAGTTAGGGTCTTTCAAAGCCCATGTGAAAAAACCCAGAAAAGATATAGTTTGTTTAACAATAATAAGAAAAGAGAATAAGCAAACCGACGGGCTAGAGAAAATTAGAAAATTTGGACATTGATCCTCTGCCCCTCATGTATCTTCATTGATGTCTCGATATATCACAACGGTAGCTATTGTCGGTATTAGTTTTAGTACTACCCTATTTACATAGATTATGATTTGGATGAGGCATTATGTGTCCGGTAATAATTTGAAAGTTACAACATACCTCAAAAGGTTAAAAGATCATTTTCCTGAAAGCTGCTGCAAGTATAGGAGTTTGTCAACAACCTTATAAAAAGCAAAACTCTTTCATAGCTACAACTGCTGCGAAAAAAAATACAATTAGACAATAAATTTGGACAGTGGCAATATATTAAAATTTAATGGGCAATGGAAATGCTATAGTTATCCTCATAAGGTTAAAGGATCATGATATCTCTCTCTCCTATTGCATACGTGCATGTATGTGTGTACTTCTATACTACTTTAGTTACATGCGCTGATTCGTACCAAATTAGCTTAAAATATGTAAATACTTTCATTGCCCAAACCTTGTACAATACTAGATAGGTAAAAGTGCATTAGAAGTTTCAATTTTTTCTTACGATGCTCAATTTAGTGCCATAATGTTTTGATTGCTAAGTGTCTTAACTTTCAAATTTCGTTCATTTCATTACTCCAACGACTTGTATCACCGAAAATGATGACTTGACATTAGTCTAATGATAAAATCGCTCATATGTGACTTTGATAAATAATCACAAATGAAGGGAGATCAAAATTTTAAACAAGCTGAGAAAAAATAGCGAAAACTTACATACCTTTTTCGTAAGAATTTTTGTAAAGCTGACTGATAAAACCAAATTTCATAATAATTATTGAATGGATAACATATATGTTTAAAGTTAATTACTTAACCTAAACATTCACATATGTCAATTATTCATCAGTGACCATATAAGTATGTTTTTCCTTAAGGAGTTTTGTGACATCACAACTAGCGGTGAGCATTTCCAGGGTAAGCAGGTTTCAAACCTGAAACCTAAGTAAAACCTATCCTATCAAGACAAATTATCGATTTTTGGAACCTAAAACCTACTCTGCAAACTCTGGAACCAATCTTGGAACCGCACCTGTCGACCCAGTTCTAGGATGTTGGCAAGATAAGTTTATCACGTCATGATAAAATTAAGGATCAAGGTCCAATTTGTAACAGTTGTATTTACCATAAAAATCATAGGTTGTGTTTAGCAACTATGATGTACTCTTCTTTAGTTAAGGAGAATGAATCTTCCCCAAAAAGCTAAGTCGAAATGGGGATATCCACCATGGACGTAGGCTTCCAAGGAACCTTTCCTTGGTCGACCAAATCACGTAAAACCTTTGTTTATCTTCTCTTTTCTTTGTCTCTTCCATTTTTGTATAAACTCGCTATATCTGGTCTACTTGAAAACCGACCAAATTCATTTTTTATTTATAAATTAGCAAAACAAACTTTTGTACATAAACATTCTAACATCCAATTCTTTCATAACATGCCAACCTACATATTTTCATCACTTCTGTTCTCACGTGACCTCAAGATTTCACTTCTTCTGATGGATCCAATCAACAGTCAAGGTTAGGATATGTCAATTCAGAAGATCGTAAATATATAAGGAGAGCAGTGAAAAAATTAAAAAAAAAAAAGTGGACCAAAAGAAGAGAGTACCTGTGGTTGCCAAAGACGGAACCCAGTCAACCAAAGTAAGATCAGCATCTCTTGCTTCTTATTACGAAATTAACTTCTTTTTTTATATAAAATTACTACTTCTGAGAATTCATTCCATCTAAAGAGACTGCAAGGCTAGAGAGTGAATTTTTAGTAGACTGAGAGGCAGAAGAATTCCCTAATTAACACTAAGCTAGTGAATTGGGAATAATCCCTTCACATTCACAATTTTTGAAGCAGAAAGGAGGGTCTCAGAAAGATCACTCTCCGTCAAAACCAAAGCATGTAATGGACCGTAATAGTTGATGTTTCACGGAATTAGACACACAAATCACTCATCCAATAAGCGAGAATCAGACCAGAACGGACCAGGTAGGCCCGGTTCGGTCCGATTCCTAGGTCTACTCATGACTGGTACTCACCCCTACTCACGACTCTGAAAATTTTATGCTGTTTTCTTTGTCTGGTTTTGTAATACGTAGGGGATACAACCACTATGCAAATACAATCACAAGTATACCGATCAAAATAACCCAAATTTAGTTAGTAATTTGATCGGAAAAAAGTTGGTCATCACCACATCAAGATTGGTAAATGCATATAAGACTAGTAACTTTGAAGAGTTGGTAAAAAGACATGAAAGTTAGTAAACAGAAAAGTTGGTAATTTGGAAACTCTCAAGAAAGAATTGATAATTTCAATAAAGTATAGGTAAGTTATCAACAACTTATAAAATCACTCACACTATTAACACGTATCTACTCTTTCAAAAATACACGAGTATAAAGAAAATCCGTTTTCTTCAGATATGGAAAACTAAACTCGGCTATTCCTTAAATTCATTTTTCCTATGTTGAAACCACACAAGGGTGGAAAGAAAAAGGTAGTTTTAGCGGAGAAGATCACACAGGATCGCGTGAAGAATCTTTTATGAAATTTAGAATTGAGTAAGTTGACGAAATAGTATTAAATTATTAAAAGAAGAAACACATTTGGACCTAATTATTCTTCCAGATTCGGAGCAAATTTAAAATTGTTGAGTTGAACAAGAGCCTAATGAGTAAAGACGGTCGACATAAATTGATGGAAGTGCTCTTTTAACGCTACTTCTATCGCTATCCCCCACCCTGAACCACTTGAAATACGACGAGTGGTGAGAAATGATGTCACGTCCCAATCTAAATGAACTCTCAGCTTCGTGGAAGATCGAAGTATATTATTTTATGTTATTTTTGTGAGTGGGAACACGTACATGGATGAGCCGACCACAGAAACTGACTAATGTCATGAGATTACAGCATGGAAAATTAGGGTAAGGAGCAAGCTGGCGAAACAGTGAAGACGAGGTTGACTTATATGGTCGGTGACGACGAACAATGTCATTGTTGTATGCTGATGTTCTGGAATTCGAAGAGAGATACCTACTTCTCTTTGTCTTCCTCTCTCTGAGTTGCTCTTTTTTGGTTCCCCGCGTGAATGTTTCCGAAAAAAAATTGATGCGCGAAAAATGACAAATTAGGCTGATGGACTTATTTAATATTTCTAAGTGATGGGTTATTTGCCCATTATCATCCATCTAATATGGCATGTGGGGATTATTATTTTTCTCGACCGATTCAGTTTCTGATATTAGTATGGTCGATATCATCAGCCATTGCAGATGTTGTGTTTTGACTCTCTTTCTGTGGAGTGTAAATGGTGACCCTATTAATCTTGATTCGTAATTTTATTAGAGCGTCTTTAATTAGTTTGGTGTATTTCAAGCAAAGCGATATTTATTAACTTTTGAAAACTCATAAGAAAAGTTTCCGACATGAATGCTCAATTTGCTTTGGAAAAAAATTAATAACCGGAAAAAAATTCCTCTTTTTCCAGCGTTTGTAAAATTATTTCATAGTCAAGTACGAGAAAATTAAACCATTTTTAAAATATATTTTCCAGTCTAGTTAATTTTCTATGAAATAAAAGGAGACGAAATCTATCTAGCAAGCTCATATTAATAAGTTTTAAAAAATTCTATGCTCGCGTTCATTATCAAATGAAGCAACTCTCAAATTAAAAAAAAAGAATTAGAAAGAAAACTTCACTCCAAATGGACCTTCATTCAACTATAAGGAAATTAATTTAATATTTCTTTCTTTCCGTCCTCATTATTGACTCGTTGCACACGTTAAAATATTTTCCTCTTTTATGATGACCAAGAGGTCCACTTCTATATATATAGGCCTAGTCGAGATCTAATATGTTATCTAAAACACAAGCTACCATTTCTGTTGTGAGGTAAAACGCATACGAGCACATCCCTACTTTAGAAACCTAGGATACAGTAAAAGAGAAACATGATGGAGGATCATCCGACAGGCTTCAGGTTCTATCCAACGGAGGAAGAGCTCATTTCTTTCTATTTGCACAACCAGCTCGAGGGCTCGCTACAAGACCAGCTCCACCAGATCATTCCGGTATTCAACATCTATGCCACCGAGCCGTGGAATCTCCCAGGTAAAAGAACATGAAATCATGCATAGTATTTCTTCATTTCTCGATGTTCCTCATTCATTGTCACTGAAACGGAATCATTTGAGCAAAGTTGTCGCCAATTGTACTAAAAGTTTTCGCTTTCTCTTGTGGTGTTGTGCGTGTTTTGCTGCTGCAGAGCTTTCCGGAGAGTTGTGCCGAGAAGACAAAGAGCAGTGGTTCTTCTTCGCTCCGATGCAGGAGAGAGAAGCCAGAGGAGGGAGACCTAGCAGAAGCACGGCGGTGGGTTACTGGAAGGCGACCGGGTCGCCTGGTTATGTCTACTCGGCGGACAACAAAGTGATTGGGATGAAGAAGTCCATGGTCTTCTACGTGGGAAAAGCTCCAACAGGAACAAAAACCAAATGGAAATTGAACGAGTATAAAGCCATAGAAATAATCTCACCTCCCAATTCTAATTCTTCAAGTTCTAGCATGCCCGGGTTTAGGGTAAGCGCGTGCATGAACTAATTGAATTTGATCTTTATTTTGCCTTTTTTTTTTGGTCGAAGATCTTCATTTTAGTTAATCGCGTGATCACTCTTGAACTTTTGTTAGACATATCAGGCGGTGGAAAACATTATTTATACAAGCATGCATGACTTGATTGATCTTTGATCTTCATTTTAGTTAATTGCATAATCAGTCTTGGATTTTTGTCAGTGCTGGAAAACATTATTTTCACAAGCATGCATGACTTGATTGATCGATGACTTTCTATACATTTGACATAAATAACTAAAATCAAAAGCGATGCCCATGTTTAGGGTAAAGTTTAAAGTCTAAACCTGCATGCACTCTTCATCTCTTTTTTAGTCAATGCAATTGAACCTTTTATTTTGGGACTTTATTAGATGAGTCATGTTTTTCTTCGTCTTAATTGGCGGAAGAAGAAAATTACACATGACATTAGAGTAGAAGATCCTGAGCTCAAATCTTTTTAGGCCCGTTATTTGCCTACCCATCATATATTTCCACGTTGTTGGCTAGGCCAAAGTCTACTTTACGCGTGAGAGGGAGTGTTAGAGTATCTAAATATTAAGCCAAGCTTTCATCTAACAACTTAAATTTTTACATCAGTTGGCAGTAGTTTTACGAAATATTACAGTATTCTGAGCAATAGATCATACTCATGAACGTCACCGGATTTACTTTAGTTAAATTTTCAAACGAGTAGTCTGCATATTTACAACCCACCTATTAGAGGCTCGATTAGGCGAAATTTCGAAAATACAGCGCTTATTAAGTAGTGCTAGTAAATTAAAAATATTATGCTCTTAGCTTGGTTTGCCAGTGTTACATGCTAGTGTATCGGAAACATTCATTCTCATTTTCTCTCTAGATGCAACAAAAAAAATTTCTTTACTTTTTTCCCCTTGAAATGTTGTAGTTGAGGCATGAGTTCGCGTTGTGCCGAGTGTACGTTGTGTCCGGGAGCTCCCGAGCATTTGATCGTCGGCCATTGGAGTTGGTGGTTGCGGAGACAATACAAGGTGGAGATGGTGAAAGTGGCAGTGGCGGTGGCTATGGCGGATCGGTGTCCTCATCAAGATCAGTGACAGAAAATAGTGCTGGAATTTCCCGTTACAGGGAGACGACTACGTCGACTAGTATGGAAACCGAAGAACCTATATGGGATTGGGAACAACTCAATTGGTTTTAAAACAGTCCTTAGAAAACAGATTTCCTCTGGATGAATTACCATCTTTGACAGAAAGTTGTTCGTCAATCGATTTTTTCTCTTTTTAGTTTCCATTGGGTTCCAATGGGAAAAGGGTTAATGACAATAGCGTGTCCTCTAATAATGTGCATCTACAAGAGAATAATATTGACCAAGATACAGTATGTCTAGTATAGATTTTCTGAGCCTTTTCTTTTAGATTTTGTTGTACTGCTAAGTGTGCTTATATAAATATATATGCTCCATAGGATGAACATCGAAAAGTAGTGCTCGCTGACCTGCATAATATTGTTCACTTTGTTCTATTCATGTCCGGAGAATGTGGGTACGATTGCATACAAATTAAGATTGTTGAGAAAAATCCCTAAGTAGTTTTGAAGAATGACAAAACAATCTGTTACTGACCAGAATTACACTTAAGTTATTTGATACAGGCAAATACTGAGTCATCAGACTTAGTCGATGAAACGACTTTGTCATCAGACTCATAAGTCCTCGTCAGATTCAATAAGTGTTATTTTTGGCAAGTTTATGCAGGACAATCAAATTGATATCTCAAGATATCCTAATTGGCAATCACAAGATCGATCCTTAAACACGAAGAACTGCACTTATGGAAACCTTGATTTGATTGTATGGGTGATCAAATCACCTGGAGATAATGGTTCTTCTTCTAACGGCTATGCATTTTCTTTTGGGAAGTTTCTCCAACTAGATGATTTGGAGATCAATCCTTTGAAGACTGTCCAACGGATAGATTGGACGTAGAAGAGTATAAAAGGAGTGCAAACGTCGTACAAGGAGAAAAACTAGAATCGAGAATTCCAAAGTCTGAATAAAGCTTCGATCTTACACACTTGTGATTACTGTATTCCACGTTGTGACTTCAGAAAGAAAATTACTTGAGTGAAGAGTGTACGTAATAGTGTAGTCTATCATCTGAGAAACACTGCTCTTGTAATCTTTTGGTGATTCAATAATGAAACACAGCCAATAGGCTGCCAGCGTGGAGAGTAGACGTAGGCTTAATAAAGCCGAATCACTATAAAGATCTGTGTGCAGTATTCTCTATCCCTAAACTTTCATTTATTATTGCTTACATTATACTGCATACATATCTATCAAATGAGTTCGTCAAAACATCATTTTAGTCATCAGACGCAATCATCTGACGACAACTTACAAACAAGTTTGTCATATGCATCCATCTGATATTGTTCATACGAATTGTTAACCTCGTCTATATTCATTCCGCACGTTTAAATCATTCAATTTGATAAAATCACATATTCACCCACCTCTAGGTGATAAAACTAGCCGTAACAAAGATAATCGAAAATATGAACCAGTAATCGACCGAAGGAGGAATTGGCAAATTAACTATATTCCCGGACAAAGGAGGAGTTGGCAATTTAACTATTTTCGGGGACAAAGGTGGAGCTGTTTCACTTTGTGATCAAGAAAAGTTCCAGGTGAGAATCAAGAACAGACTTTCACTACCCTATATCAAAAGGATTCTACAAGACCAGAAAACCCTAAACACTCGCCAAGCAGAATTCTCTTTCCGTTTTCCTCTCCTTTTTCTATATCAAAGACTTGCGTGCATCTTCCTTTGTTAAACTCCTTCCTTTATAGAGAAACTTTACAAGCTGTAAGTGTACTGTTGCGTGTGATTCTGTAATTCTTAAGATTATGGCATACAACATAGCGTCCTGTGGCGGCCCTGTAAATGAACGGGTACACACGACTAAAAGCTTACAGGCATTTTTTAAGTGTAAGATCTTCTTTCGATCTCCTTTTCTCCCTAAAGGAAAGAAAAAAACACTCTTTAGGACACTTTCTTCCATGTCACTTCTTACTAGTTTCGCTTCTTCTGATGGCCTGAATTGCCTTCACTTCCGCCCCACCATCCAATAATTAATCCAAGTGACCCTCCACTTACCAATATTTTAATCACCAAATGATATTTCCACTTTTCCCAAAAAAATTTATGTCCTTATACCCGTAGTTAAAGGCATCTTTTTTTATAAAGGGCAGTGTTTTTTCCACTCCTCCTTCGATTTAGACGCTCCTTTTTTTTGTTTTGTGTTGTGATTATATTATCTTTTGTGGGGCCTACCATTTATCTGGTAAAATTCTACAACAGTGATCCTTTTTTTTATTATTTGGTCAACTCTTTTTTTTATTTTTTTTTCCTTTGCGGGTCCCACTTTCCTTCTTCTTTCGTTCCATGCCTTTGACGTCTCAGTTCTCTACTCTTGCAAACTGTCTTTGTATTTTCTCTATTGCAAGCCATTCTCTTTTTTCTACGCCTCCAACTCCTTTTTCTTCTTCTTCTTCTTCTTCTACCACAAATCTCTCCTACACTTGCAATCCCCAAAGAACTGCTTACTTCAACAATCCGCGCCTTACTCATTCGTTATTGGAGGTATAGTTCTGGCAAAAGCTTGTTCTTTTCTCCTTTTTTGTTTTATTTGTCTCGAATCATGCTCATTCCTGTCGCTATTGAGTGTTTCTTGATATCTTTTGTTAAAAGTGAATTTGAGTTTTGGGTCATGGAAATACTTGATCTTGTGTTTCAATTCTGTGTTTAGAGCGTAGCGTGCATCAAAACAGTGTTAGTGAATTAATTGTGAAGTTGCTTTGCAATCTGTAACATACTCGCATCCACTCCCTCTGAGTTCAGTTTCTTACTATGGTTTCCATAAGTTCTTCATCATCATTTTTGAGAGGCTATCGTTACTTCTCATTAATTGACTTGTTGAAAATAATGATGCAGGATATGCTTAATCTGGTAATTTGATCTCGAGGGAAATTGAGTAATTTATTTTCTTTGACGGCAATGGAGGCCAAAATTCTTTCGTTTTATCAAGATTGTAGGTGTTGGGTTTAAATCTAGAGTGGAGGCTAAAGGATACCTCTTGTAGCTAAAATTAGGCTACAGCCATTAGGTAGACCTGACTAATTCTCCCACAGTGTGTGTCTTTTGCTTTAACAACAAATGTGGTCTATTGTACCAGAGTCGACAATAATGGGGTCTATTGTTGTGCCACATGCATGCAATGGAAAAAAAATGGCTTGTTGGGAAGGTCACCGATGAGCCCAATGCCCGTGCCAATGAAAGAGTGGAGGACGACGGAGTTAACATCATATATAGAAAATTAAGGATGATGGGTTTGGGGATTAAGAAGAAGAAGGATTGGGAAACGTAGAAAGAGAGAATGGCCTGCAAGAGAGAAAACAGAGAGAAGATTTGCAAGAGCGGAGAATTGAAACGTCAAAGGCGTGGAAAGAAAGAAAGAAAAAGGAAAGTGGGACCCGCAAGGAAATAAAAATTGTCACTTTTGTAGAGTTATACCAAAAGTGATGAAGCCTACAATGAATTGTATGGTCAAAACACAAGAAAATGGAGTATCTAAGCCAAATGAGAAGCGGAAAAAGCGCGACAAAACAAATTATCCTCAAAATACAAATATACTGCAATAAAAACAAGTTGCACATGCAACTTAACAAAAGATATTGTCTGTGGCTCTCCTAAAAAAGGTTGCTCTCTCGGAAAAAAATATTTTACTTGAATCAGATAATAAAAGTTTTTAATTACATCAATAAGAGATTCCACTACAAAAAAAACTAGGATTTTGCCACGAAAATTTGCGACGAAAAATTTTCTGTTGGAAATTAGCGACGACTTTACGACGAAAACTAAATTCGTTGGAAATTTGTGACGAAAAATATTTCGTCGCTAATTTTCGACGAAATTTGCGACGAAAAATTTTTCGTCGCAAATTTGCAACGAATTTTGGCACGGAAAGTTATTCGTGGCTAATTTGCGACGGAAAAAAAATTTGTCGCTAATTTGCAACACGAAAAATAATTTTTATGATATCCATCCCCACCCCCAATTTCTCTCTCTCGACCGATTCCTCATATCCCCCTCACTATTCTCTCTCCCTCTCTCTCTTTCGTTTCTCTCGATTTACCTATCTGCGCACGCGCAAATCAATCTCGGTAAAGCTTTTCCGCCGGTAAGTGTCGTGGCTAATTTCGTTACTAATTAGCGACGAAAATGGTTCGTCGCAAAACTATTCATCGCTGGATTTGTATTTTTTGGTGTTATTGAAATTTTTTTTTCCCTTCCTTACTAGTTTGGCCGGTTGCTGGAGACATCGCCGGCCATGGGGCGAGATCCAGCGGCCTGGCCATGGCCGCCGGTCCACCTCACCAACGCCCAGGTGGGCTAGCCTCGCCATGGCCGGCGAGCTCGGCCCTCGCCAGTGCCGGCGAGGGCTAGCCTTGCATGGGCTGACGGCGAGGGCTAGCCTCGCATGGGCCTCGCCATGGTCGGCGAGCTCGCCCAGATCTGGGTGAGCTCGAGCTTGCCAACCATGGCGAGCTCAGCCCTCGCCAGTGCCGGCGAGGGCTAGCCTCGCATGGGCTGATGGCGAGGGCCGAGCTCTCCATGGCCGGCGAGGGCTAGCCTCACCGCCGGCGAGCTCGAGCTCGCCCAAAACTTGCCCAGGCGAGCTCGACGGCCATGGCGAGCTCGAGCTCGTCGGTCGCCGGACCGGCGACCGACCAAGAAGAAAGGAAAAAAAAATAAAAAGAAAAGGAAAAGAAAAAGAAAGAGAAAAAATTAAAAAATAATTAAAAAATGCATCTTAAGTAATTTGTTTTTAGTTTAGGTACGTGTCCATTTGAAGGTTTCGCAATCCAAGTGATCGTTGCAATTCTCATCAAATTGACCACTTTCTACTACAAAGATTTCAGTCAAATACTTGGTAAGTCTTCTTGACATGGTAATTTTTTCATTTTTTTCAATTTGAAAGTAATTGTTTCGTAAAAAACAAAATTTTAATTTTTAGAAATTTATGGTTTTAATTAACAATATTAAACAATAGATATGATATTTTTAATATTTTACGAGAATTTTTTTATTTTTATACAGATACAATGTAAAGAGACAGGGGTTGGATGTATAATAAGAACTTACCTGGACGTCGATGATTGACCGATGAGTTTCGTATCGGGTTGGAACTATTTTTGGACTTTGCTAGTAGTAAATATGAGTTCATGGATGGAAATAAGTTAAGGTATCAATGTAAAAAGTGCAGTAATGGAAAATTTCAAGACATTGATAAAGTTAGAGAACATCTTTGTAGATTTGGGTTACTCCGA